CAATCCCACATAGTATTGGAAACACTATTAGGAATGGTATTTAAGGCTTGGCTTTCCCACTTCCTTGTTGAGTGATAGAAAACAAGGGAGACTCTCGCGCGCCGCCGCCGCCGCCGTCCCGTCTCGTGATCGTGGTAATATGTGTCTTCGATACGTCCGCGCGAATACTATCTTTTTAGAGAAAATTCTTAAGAAACAAATGCAATACCGTCGTTGAGATTTTGGACTATCGCAACGAATTTGGAATAAATCGCAACGCGAACTTCGACTATCGCAACGAATTTGGAATAAATCGCAACGAACTTCGACTATCGCAACGAACTTGGAATAAATCGCATCGAATTTGGAATAAATCGCAACGAATTTGGAATAAATCGCAACGCGAACTTCGACTATCGCAACGAACTTAGAATAAATCGCAACGCGAACTTGGACTATCGCAACGAATTTGGAATAAATCGCAACGAATTTGGAATAAATCGCAACGCGAACTTCAACTATCGCAATGCGAACTTGGACTATCGCAATGCGAATATGTAAATCGCAATGCGATAGTCGAAGTTCGCGTTGCGAATCTGGAAACTGATTTGCGATACCGGAGATCGCGTTGCGAATTATCGATCGCATTGCGATTTAGTTGGTCATTTTGGCAAATCTAAAAAAATTGATTAAAATCGTATATTATAAGACATTTTTTGTCACTGAAGTTATTTTTCTTTTATATATCATCCTCAACCTTTTTAAATTAGATCATTTAATTTTTCAAATTAGATGCTCTTATTTTACATTAATTAAAATGATATTTTATTAATCATTATTATTAGATTTTGTTATAGTAACTAGATTTTTTCATACTAACCTATGGTGTGACTAAAAAAATAATTTATATAAATATTATTTCCATTAAATTCCATTTTATAAATAATTATGGACGAAATGATAAAATATTATGGGTAAACTGTCTATTTGGTCACCCACACGTTATTTAGTTTATGATTTGGTCATCAACTATTATTATTATTTATTTAATGTTATGTTTTGGTTTTATTTTGGTCAATCATTATTAAAAAATTAATAGTGGTGTTGACATGAATTTTTAACTATTTTTTAATACTAGAATAACATTATTTTATGGTGACGCGTCACTATTAATTTTTTAATAGTGGTGATCAGAACAAAATCAAAATGTAACGTTAAGTATTATTTAAAATAAAATACTTGTGTGATCAAAACATAAACTAAATAATAATAATAAGTGGATGAACAAACAAATAATTTATACAAAATTATATATAAATTTATGAGTCGTATATTCAAACATTAATTAAATTCATGAATAGTGATGAATCTAAAGAAAATATTAATTACCAACAACCAATTGATTTAATGAGATGAAGTACTAGATATATTAGATAATGCCAACTATTTGAATCCTAACATTTATAGATATAATAAATTGAATTGGAAGGATTGTCAACGTATTTACATTATCCCATTTCGATTAATTAATTAATAAATTAAAAATAAGTGGTTATATAAAAATATAATAAAAATATGAAACATAATTTATATAATTTTAAAATTAAAAATATAATATTTATTATATATATTAGGACTGTATCCAGAAAATATATATTATCAACATAATTTTCTATAATAAGTTCATAACTCATTTATATTTTATCTAAATTAATATTTTAATTTTTTTGCATGAGATGAGGTAAGGTAGACCTGGGCCTACGTAAGCCAGTGTTCATGATAATGACTTATTTATTTGTGTTTTCTTCTGGAAATTTGTGCATTTGCCCTTTAGTATTGTAAATGGCATTATCAGATATAATGTACTAACTTTCACTTTCGTATCTATCCTCACACATAAATTTATTTTGATAAGATATCGAGTTTAATTAATTGTTTCCCACGATTTATACAAAAATAAAATGAAGAAAAAGAAAAGCTAAACTTAGTCAAACAATGCAGTAGTTTTGTCGTACATGGGGCTCTAAATGAGACGAGACAGATCGTGAGTTATTTGAGATTGACTCGATTAAAACTCGATAAATACTCAGATCGAATGGACTCAAGCTCGAGCTCGAGTCGAGTTCTTAACGAGCCGAAACGAGCTATTCAATATTCGACTCGAAAAACTCTTGAGTAACTCAAAAAAATATTATATTATAATTTTAGATTTTTTTTAAATTACATTATTAAAAATATATTAAAAATACATTATTGATAATTATAAATTTTAAAAATATATAAAAAATTATATAATACAACTACCCTCAAATTTAATTTTTTTAATTAACCAGCCTAAGTTCAACTGTTACATCGTATATTACTAAAATAAAAATAAAAGCCCATTTAATTAAGCACATGTTAGATTACACGTGTTTGGTTGATTTTTTTTCTTTCTTTTTTAACTTTTTACTGCACATGTACTTGACAACGCAGAAAAATAAAATAAAAAATAAGAAAAAACAATCAAACAATAGAAAAAATGAAAATGATTAAAAATTATTTTTGAATAAATATTCTAATATTTATTTTAAATTAATAAAAAAATTATTTATCTAATGAAAAATATTTAATATATTTCTAATGATAATATTTTTAATAACTAATTTTTTAAATTATTGTTATACTTTGAGGTTTCGGGTTCAAATATTATAAATATCAAGGGTTTGAGTATTTAATATCAATATACTATATTGTACTTACCTCATAACTAATTTTTTATTTGACAATAAATATAATATAATAAAATAAAATAAAAATATGATTCAATTTAAATATTAATAATTTAAAAAAATATATCAAAATAGAGTGTAACCGATTTTATAAAGAATTATGAAAGAAAAAACTCATTTAGAGTTGCATTAATATCTTATTAGATTTTTGTTCTTCAGAAAGCAAAAGAAAAACAAGTCTACTTTCTCTCCTTTCACTAAGTCATCTCATTCCTTCAAATTATGTGATAGAGTTTAGGTTTAGGATTTAGGGTGTAAAGTTTAGGGGTTTAAATTTAGGATTTAGGGTTTAAGTTATGCACTTGAAGGTAACATAAAAATTATGCAAAATAATGTTATGTGACTCCTAAATAAATATTCGCATACTTATACATAAACATATCAACATGCAAAATAAAAATACACAACTACTTAAAGAAGACAATCCTAAACAGTGACTAAAATATTACATGAACTAAAGTGTGCTTACACGATACATGCATGCATAAGAATGAAATGCAAATGCACATACATTAAGATGAAACAATATAAGATTAAACCTACTATTAATAACTTAAACTAATATTTAAAAAATGACATGTAAGACCAAAACAATAGAAAACTAAAAATACGCATACAAAGTAGAAATTACTCATTAAATTAAACAAGTCAACTAAGAGATTACACTGTCAAATAATTAAAATTACAAGACAATTGAAAAACGCACAAATTGAAGGAACACGCAAAGCATGATATCTAGGGTAAAAACCTTACCCTAAGGGTGTGTTTGGTTCACGGAATGTAAGATTATCAGTGGGATTAAAAGATTACCAGGGAATAGGATTACTGGGAATGTTGTATTTTGTGTTTGGTTGGTTTAGCAGGAATGTAAGATTACTGTGTTTGGTTAAAGGAATAAAAATTATTGGAATGTATATTTGACCAAATTGTCCTTATTATATATTTGTATAATATTACAAATTGTAAAATATTTATATATATTCTTTAAAAAATTAAATTCATAATATTTATATAATTTTTTTTACAAAATTAAAAATATAAAAAAGGTTTAATGAAAGGGTAAAAAAATTTTAACCCCTGAACTTCATATAAAATTTTAATTATAGATTTTTTTTTGTAAATATAAAATAATTTAAGGATAAAATTATAATTTAACATTCGTAGAATTTTTATTATTCAATGACAAAAGAAGTATATTTTTGAAAATAAAAATAAAAATTTAAGGGCATTTTAGTCCAAAACGCCGGTAATGTTACAATACCTAAGGGAAATGAGGTAATGACATTCCCGGTAATATAACCCAAAATATCTACTATTGGTAATAAAACATTACCGGGAATGAGATTCCCGGCCAACCAAACATGGGAATGTGGGATTCCCATCCGATGAGAATCCCACAATCCTTGAACCAAACACCCCTAATTCATTTCCCCTCAAACTTTCCCTGGCTAAAACTTTCCCCTCGCCATTCTCCTCTCAAACCTCGTCCACTCGCAGCCCTAGCAGAAACCCACAACCACCGTGGCCTAAACGCTCCCCCAAGTCTTCGACGAGAAACCTAGACCTCAAACCCTTCTCCTTACGCTGAACCTTAACCCTAAGCCTCTCAAAACAACACCCACTCCCTAACTGTCGAACCATACGACCGCCGTAGGTTTCCCTTTTCGAAAGCTCTACTGAGGAACCAAGATCCCAAATAACCCTCACTTTACCCTTTCTTAGAACCCTAACCTCACAAGCCCCAAAGCCGCGCCCTAGATCAACCATAGATCCAAGGCCAAAAGAGATTACCCTTGGTGACTCAAGGCAGCTTTGACTCCGGGCGACAAAGGCAAGCTCCTATCGACGGGGAAGGTAAGGTTTTACTTACTGGTTCTCTGGCCACTTATGGCTTTTGTTGCTCGAATGTTTTTTTCTTCTTCATTCTGGTTGATACCCCTTGTTTTGGGTGGCTGATAGGTTATATGGTTGTGGTTTGATAGACTCTCTAGGGTTATATTCTTTTCTTTTTCTGTTATCTCTGATAACTGAGATTATATCCTTGAGGTTTGCTCTCTGTTTTTTTGTTGTGCTTGGTGTTCTGTCCCTTGTTATGATGAATAACTTCATAAAGAATTGATTACTTGCTATATTGTTGTGATTTGGTCATCTCGAATTTGGCCTTTTAGCATTACTCCAACATTGGGAAAACTGGAAAGTGTTATGGATTCCATTTAATTCAGCTTCTACCTATCAATGATACATCTGTACATGGGATGTGGTGGGATTCATATCCATACAGGTAACCTGTAAATGTGATAGTAGATAGCAGGCTCAAACTAGTTTCTCACTAGAAGTTCTCCCACCTTTTTATATTTACACTCTGGAAGGCCAGAGCTGATATGTTCAATTTAAACTTGTAAACTGCTGTATGTTTTCTGTTCGACAACTCTGTTTGCGTCCACTTATATGCATTTTCAAGTTGCAGTTTCTTTCTGATTTTAGTTTCTCCTGTCTTCCACCTTTCAACAGGAATTGGGATTGTATCTTATTTGAAACCATTAAATGCATTGATTGCTTTAAAAGAGTGCTTATTACTGGTTACTGAGTCTTATATTGATAAATTTAAAGTTTCAATGCTAAATTATTGGTTACTGGGGCCCCTCCAGATTATTTTGACAAAAATGGCCAGAATTGGGGGTTTCCTACTTATAATTGGGAGGAAATGTCCAAAGACAACTATGCTTGGTGGCGTGCTCGCCTTACACAGGTTTTTCAATTTCCTTTTTTTGTTTGCAATTTCTTCTTTAACTTTTACCCCAAATTCAATAAGTTGTTTGCTTTAATGTTGTTTTAAGGAAAGAGTATTTCTTTATTTCGTTTTTGCTGAAATTTTTATAATTTTATTTGCTTCCATTGCAGATGGGAAAGTACTTTACAGCTTATAGGATAGACCACATCTTAGGCTTCTTTAGAATTTGGGAACTCCCAGACCATTCTATGACTGGTCTAATTGGAAAGTTCCGTCCATCTATCCCTCTAAGCCAGGTAACAAAATTACAATTCCTTGAAGCATGCAAAGCTTCTTCTGTATATAACAACTAAGGGGAATCAAATTGCTCTAGTTGTAACTGAATAATGCTTCGATTTCAGGAAGAACTTGAAAGAGAGGGTATATGGGACTTTGATCGATTGGCACGCCCTTATGTTCGAAAAGAGTTTTTAGAGGTAGAGAAAAAATACCTTTGTGATTCAAATTAGTTTCTCATGGAGAATTTTGGACTTTTTGCATTTTTAATTGGCTAAATACGATCTTTTTCATTTTATGTTAACCAAAATGTTCACTTTGAAGATGGTCAATTTTCTTTCAAATCAGAACGCTTCATTTCAATTATATCCTTCATGAAAAAAAGTGTGATTATGAATAGTTATTATTTAATGGTAACCCGTAACATGGATTTGCATCAGCTGGTTCCATCTAAACATTTTCACCAATTTCGCCCTAATGTATAGGATCTATAAGGTTCAATACTAACATTAGAGAAATGATAATGTAATAGTGAAAGTTACATGATTTTACACGAAAAGAGGGAGATAGAAATTGCATTTCCCAAAATGTTTCCATTTAATTAGGGAGAACATTAGTAAGGTCAAAGACATCGTGTATCAACTTGTATAAATTTTGATATGTTGTCATATTTGTCATTTTTTTTATAAATTTAGATGTGTTGTCATATTTTGTAAACTTTGAATACATTTGAAGTTTTAAAAATTTCAAAGCTTATATTAATTATCTTAAATTTCTTGTAATTGTAATTGTAATTATATTTTTATTTTTTTTAGACTTTTTATAGTTCATACATTCATATTATAATGTATTGGTGATGGTTGATTAAAGGGAAAATTATTTATATATTTTAAATGTAATATAAGATTTTTGTAGGTTCAAATTTGAGTTTGAGTTCGAGCTTGAATCGAGCTTCAATCGAGCTCCTGAATTTTTTGAGTTCGAGCCTTTTCGAGTCCGAGTCGAGTTTCAATAATATATTTCGAGTTCGAGCTGAGTTTCATAATTTTTAGCTCATTAGTTTTCGAGTCGAGTCGAGCTTACGTTTAAAGTTTTCGAGTTCGAGTCGAGCTCGACTCGGCTCGTTTACACCCTTAGTCGTACAACAATTTAATATACGATTAAGAAAAATGAACACTAGAAATATTATTATTTTTTAATATTTTCGATAAAGCGCTACCTAAAATATTATTTTTCTACCGGAAATGTTAATTTCGCTATTTAAAAATAAGTAGAAAAAAATAATATTTAGGTAGCGCTCAATATTAATATTTCTGATAGAAAAATAATGTTGTAGGTAGCGTTTTACCGAAAATGTTAAAAAATAATAACATTTTCGATAGAGTATTTCCTTAATTGTATATTAAGATTGCCGCACCTGAGACATCTTCAGTTGCCCTAACATTTATGTTTGTTCAACAATTAAGCCAAAATAATGAAGGACTAATTCCTAAGATCCATTAATTATCACTATACCGGGGGTGTTAAATAAGGGAATTCAGGATTTTCTTTAAGGGTCAGAATTAAATCAGAATCTTTTAAGTGATAAACTTCATAGACAAAAAGGACAATATGAGAATTTTTCTTCAATATTTTTTTTGGGCTTAAATGCAATGAAAGACGATTAACGTAGAATTTCTGTTCTTTGAATTATAGTGATATTCTTTTATCTGTAGGATTGTGGTTTTTTTTTTATCCATGCAGGTCTGTCCGTTAACGTTATTTTTAGGGTTTCTTTATGTTTAATAACGATATAGATGTCTTTTAACCAAAACCCAAATCTTACATAATTTCAAACAAATAATACCATTTTTGTATTTATGCCAGCTTTTGGCATTAGTTTTTTTTTAAATTATCTTAATTTTTACTTTTAACCATTTACATAAAGGAACATATATAAGATCTTAGGTTAGGAGATGAACTTTAAATTTAAGGGAAAAATATATTATCAACTGAAAATATCTAAAATATATATTGATTTGAACTTTTACTGTCTCCACCCTCCCCCTTCGATCCATCTCTGTTTAAATACAATGATGGATTAAGGGGATAGCAGCCGAGGCAATCTCCTGAAAAATTTAATTTCTTATATATTTTAGACATTTTATTTATTTTTTCTATTAATAGTATCTTTCCATCCCTCAGATCTTATAAATTCATCGTATTATAAGTTCGTCCGGCTACATATACTATACATATTTTTAATACAATATATAATATTTGTATTCTTTACAATTTAATTACATTTGAATTTAAACAATGTGCTACAACTGATATTAATTTTACTAATAAAGTATTCAATATCACCACCATTACAATATTTAATCTTATAGTAACTCATATGTAGACACTCATTTTAGCCCGAATTTTTTTCTTCTTTTATTTTTCTTTTATTTATATTATGTAGTTTGAAAACGGTTTTTTTTAAAAGTATATATTACATATAGTTTGAAATCATTTTGGAAATTATATAATATATGGGTTTTAAAAAATATTTTTGAAAACTTATATATAATATATGGTTTTTAAAACATTTTTAAAAAATATATATAATATATGGTTTTTAAAACATTTTTAAAAAATATATATAATATATGGTTTTTAAAAAACATTTTGAAAATATATTATATAGTTTTTAAAAAAACATTTTGAAAACATATATAATATATAGTTTTCAAAAATATTTTGGGAAATATATATAATATATAGTTTAAAAAACATTTTGAAAATATAATATATGGTTTTTTAAAATTATTTTGAAAATATATAATATATAGTTTTTAAAACATTTTTGAAAATATATATATTATGTAGTTTTTAAAAAAACATTTTGGAAAAATATATATTATATACTTTTTAAAAAATATTTTTATATGTTATTATTTTATTTATTTTTATTTATTATATGTTTTTATTTATTTATTTATTTATTTTCTTTCATTTCTTTTTATGTTTTTCAGGTCCAATAACAATCCAACATTCGGGTCCAACAGAATGACCAACCGGGCTTGGGCCTAACCCAGCCCAATCTTGCATTAGGGTTTCCCAACTTTAGTCAAGGCACCGCAGATCATTGCAGTCAAGGTAACAAATGACCAGAATCACACCGGTCGAGATTCACGGCGCTCGGATAGGGACATCCCGAGACTGCACCATCTCGGGTCTTCAGCCACAACCAACCCTCACGATTTAATAGGGAAACATGGGTAAAACGGCCCCCGAAGACAAAAGAAACAACTCCGGTGGAAGGCTATAAATACCTTGCCGGGGAGCCCCACAGTAAAGGGTATACAGAGAGAGAGCCACAAAATACCATCAACAATATACAACCACGATACCAACAGAAAACCATCAACCATATCATCGATCAAGAGAGCAAATCGAAAGCCATCAACACAACACAGTAAATAGAACCACAAGACACAAAAACCAAACATAAACACAAAAGAAACAACACCCAAAATAGTCGAGAAATACCACGAAGAACCTTTGGAAGATAAAGGGGCTCGTCATAAAAGGTGAGAATCGAGGGGTTTTCATTAGATCTATGACTATTAGGGTTTATTTTGGTGATTTAGGGTTTAGATTCGGGTTCACGAGACTGAGGTGGTCATTTTGGAGGTACTCTTTTTTTTCGACCACCGACGGCGGTGGTCAGAGTGGCAGAGGCAGCTGTAGACGGTGGCTGGCTAGTGGTCATTTTCCCACCGGGGGATATCTCCCTAGAGAGAGGCGAGAGAGAAATACCGAAGAGAGAGAGGGGAGTGTGAAATGAGAGGCTTAAGCCAAATTTTTTGCTTATATAGGTGGCCCACGGACCCGGTCAGACCCGTGCTTCAACCCGACCCGGCTGGCAGATCCGCGTGTTTTTACAGTTTAAAGGGGGAAAATATGTGTTTGGTCCCTTCTATTTTTCATGTATTTATTTGGCCCCGAAATCAATTTTTTCCTCTTTCAATTCAACATTCCATTTTTATTTTCTTCTAATTTTGTCACTTAAGCATATTTTATTGTTATTATATTATTGTTTTTTTTTCTATTTTTTTTAATTTTATTTATCATTCTTTTGAATTATTCTTTTTATCTTTTTCCCTCATTTTTTATTTTCTTCGATTTCAATTCATTTTTTTCTGATTGTTTTTATTCTTTTTCCTTTGATTTATTATTTAGCATTTTATTTATTAATATATTTTTTTCTTATTGTTATTTTTATTTTCCTTTTGAATTATTATTTTATCATTTTTATTCATTTGTTATGTTTTTTACTTAATATTTTTGTTGAATCTAACATTTTTTGACCTTTTTTAGCAAAGTTCAATCGATCAAAGGTAAGCAATTCAAATATGGTTTTTAAATTTTAATTTAAGTTTACAATTTTCATAATTAAAGACAACTGACGGATTAATTGGTACCGAAAGGGCGGTTCAAGGGTGCTAATCCTTCCTTGACCATAACCGACTCCCGAGCCCGACATGTTTCTGGTAAAACACAGATCAAGTAAGATGGTGTCCGAGCCACCTAAATTTATTTTAAAATGGTCGGTGGCGACTCCAATACGTTTAATCCAAGTCGAAGCCCAATTTCAGGCCCAACCGAAAGACGGCCGTGACAGCTTGGCGACTCCGTTGGGGAAAGGCAAGTGAGTCAGGCCGAAATTAATTTTTGGCTGTCTTTCTAAGCAAAAATGATAAATTTTAATTTTAATTTATTTATTCGATTATAATTTTTACCTTTTTTTTAAATAAGTAGTTGTACTGACATTTTTTCAATGATTTCAGATTTTTGAAAAGCTATTTTCATCTTAAGCTCTATACCCGAGCTCTGAACCCTTTTAAGTAGGGGTGAAAGTGATGCCTTCGTGAGAATTTATTCTCCGCACATGCCTAGCAAGTAGTCTTCGGGATTCATATATCTTATGTCTTCAACCGCACATGCATAAGGGAATGTATCCTCTCGAGTTTAACTTAGTCCATATAAGCTTGTAATGGGCTTAGGAGTAAGGGTCTGGCAAGCCCAAGGGGGCACCAGCAAGGAAACTCGGGTACCTTTCTTATAACCTAAACTGTGAGATTACAGGGAATTAGGGCCCACCCCAAAACCTCATTTCAAACCCTAGGATGCCTGAATTATTTCCTGCTTTACTTTCTGTTCAAAGCATGCGAACTAGACAAATATACGGTTAGGATTTGTTTGAAATTAGCATTCGGGATAAATATCATGTTTGGGTAG